AAAAAATATTGTTTCTGTCTTCCATCCTATCCACCTCTTTTTTACGACAAAACAAACCTGAAACCTTTACACTTTCTCGGTGATTTGCAGATCATGGATCAAGCTAAAAGACCAAAAAGGCCTATGACGGAAGAAGAAAGGGCTGCATTAGCGAAGAAACTAGATGATGATTTGGAACACTTCATAGAGGAAATGGCTGCTAAAAAGGTTTATAGAATTTTCATTAGAATAGTCCTCAGTAAGTATGAATGTAACGATTGTGTAGGCATCAGAAAAGGTGGAGAAAAAACCTTTCGACTTTGATGAATGGTGTAAGGATATAGACCAACATCCAGCATTTATGACAGATTTGGAGACTGGATTGAAAGGAAACTATGCTGACACAATCGAAGCGCTTCAGGTTATTAATCTCACTAAGGCTCACCAAGGAATTCCTTGTTTCATTAGTCACTCTTAAAACTTTCAGGCGTTGAAATATGATGAGGATGACGCAGAAGATAAGCAGTTGAACGCAGAGCGTCATAGAAAGGACGGAAATAAACATTTTGAGTTAAAAAAATATCGCTGGGCTACTGACTGCTATACTGAAGGTATCGCTCTAAATTCAATAGCTTCCTATTTGTTGCTAGATCTTTTTCATCTTTCATACTTTGCTGCGATACCAGCTCCTTCAGGACTAAAACAAAAATGCTTGGATCGCAAATTGAACTCGGTTTTGCACGGCAACCGAGCAGCAGCACAGAAGCGTATTGGAAACCTGAGGTCTGCTATAAAGGATTGTGCTATGGCTCGCAAATTTGATCCTACGAATTTGAAGGTACAGTTAACGGCACACGCTTATGATACTTTGCCCACACTTCTTTTGAAAAAGGCCATCATTTCTTCAAATTAGCTTACAGGCCGCATTACGAGGTGCTGAATGTCTGCTGGAACTTGGTTACGCAAATCAATGTATCGAATGGATTGAGTCATCTAAAAAGACTTTTGCTTTTGCTAAGGAAACCGAAGAAGAAGGTAGGCACTGGTTTGCTTTTCATTAACTACTGTT